TTCAAGTTTTTTTTTTTTGTTTATTTTCGAATGGATAATTTACAGAAATAACAATTTGCTTGAGCAGTAGCCGGTCCATCCCAATGTGTTGTCCAATCAGGTCTGTTGTAGTGAACATAGCATGGAAGTCGTATTTGAAGATCAAAATTGGATGTGTATTCTGCAGGCAGTTTGTGCCATATACTCAATAATTCTGCAGGTCTCACATTGCTTATTAAATATTCCAGCGGCGGAATATTCTTCTCAAACTCTTCTAATGTAAATTCCGATAATGTTTTATTATCCATCGTTGTTGTTGTTGTTATTGTTATTGTATAGAAATTTCAAACACAATTGTCCGCAATTAACTTGATTATAAGTTTGGTAAGGATCGTTGTTGTAGAAAATTTTAGCGTTTTTCAGATATCGAACAAGTTCCTGTGGAGGCTTCAGGTTACCAAATGAATCGAAATACTCAACGTTGTTGTTTATCTTTTTATAAGCTACCCAATGAGTTCCGTTGTTTTGTGAAATATCTAAGTTCACGACGGCGCATTCTCTTTTACGTGGACCGTCTCGTGGTAAAGTGTCACGCATGAAGACACCTCGGAAATGAGGTATGTTCAAGAGCTTCGCATATTGCTTTATTTCATAATCATAAAGCGCTTTCTTGGGTAGCTTGATGTTTAGTTTTTTTGAGTTTTTTTTTTGAGGTACAACCCATAACCACCTTTAGCATTTTTTCTCAAATACAATCCTTTGCCCAAAGACTCCATAGCTTTGTTATGGCGATGGTCTTCCTCCAATTTCTTTTGTGCATTCTTGGCATCAACGACCGTTTTGGCCACACCTGCAGCTCCCCCTGCGAGCGCCCCCAAGGCACTTAATCCGGCGAAAAGGGGGATCAAGGGTAGGAATCCCCCAGATTTTCCTTCGATCGGAATTATTCTCGGTAGTCGAACTTTATGTTTTCCACCTGCACTCTTCACCGCTAATCTTGCCGCTTTAAGAGCAACCAATGCAGACTTTTTTAATGTCGTGGTGGTGGGAGCATTTTTCTTCAAGGACTTTGTGATTTTCGTGAGAACACCTCGTCGAAAAGATGATTTCTTCTGCCCCATACCCAATTTTCGCTTAACTTTCATTGCGGTGGTTGTTAGCCAAGCTGCAGTCTTTTCTCCTAGTGAAGCGTCAGGTGCTTTTACACGTTCCCAGGCTCGGTTCTCAAGAATCCAATCAGCTTTGTGTCTGTCTTTCAAATTTTTGTATAAGGCGTATGCAATATCGTGGTCTCTTGCAGCACGATCCAATGGGTTCTTTCCAGGATCTCCTCGTGCTAACCTCTTCTTTAATTTAGTCCCCGCTGAAAATATACATATACATGTGTGAGAATGAAAAAAAAAAAATATCCTAATCTGTCGCACACTTACGTCCCAGGAACTGATACGAAGGTACGTGGAGTTCTATCGGAAGATTATTTATCAGAGAGTTTACAACACCTTCACCCTTGTACGTTAACATGAGAACTGTTGATGATGCGTTAGCAATATCTACATATATACTTTTACACATTCCTTATTCGAACGCCACACGATGAAGGTTGTTCAACAAGAGCAGTCATTACCCATTGATAACTTGGATTTTACAGCAAAAACTCAACATAGTAAACATGGTAAATTGTTACCGAATTCGTTTCGCGCTATCATCTGCGGACCAAGCGGATGTGGAAAAACGAACGTAATGCTGGCGCTGCTTTTCCATCCAAACGGTGCTAAGTTTAAAAATGTTTACGTTTATTCAAAATCGTTGTATCAACCAAAGTATCAACTGCTTCAAGAAGTGATTTCCGCTGCTAAGGGTGTTGGCTATTTCCCATTTAAGGATAACGAGGAAATTATAAGTCCAAGTAAGGCTAAAAATAGCTCTATATTCATATTTGACGACGTGTCGTGTGACGGTCAGCAGAAAATTCGAGAGTATTACTCCATGTGTCGTCATAAAGATATCGATGCTGCATATCTCTGCCAAACATACTCTAAAATTCCAAAACAGCTCATACGAGACAACTGTAACATTATAGTACTATTTAAGCAGGATGAAATTAATCTAAAACATATATTTGATGAGCATGTATCTCCAGATGTTACTTTTGATGAATTCAAAAAGATGTGTTCGGAATGTTGGGCAGAAAAGTACGGTACGTTAGTTATTGTTAAAGACTTTCCTCTTAATTATGGTCGATACAGAGTAGGATTTGATAAGTACATAAAATTGTAGGCTTATCATGTACGCCATCATTCAGTAACATGATGTCAAAGGACCAAGTTGCCGTTGCTAGTCATAAAAGAAAGATCGCAGAACTTGCTCGAGCTATACGTAAAAAGTATCTTACTTTAAAGTTAGGTCGAACTGCAGAAGATGAATCTATTAGAAAACTTTTCAAACCAATATCTGAACCTCTTAAGCAAATAGCTAAGACTCAGCAGCATCCTTCATTTATTATTAAAAAAGAGGAAAAATTGAAACAGGATGATGATGATGATAATGATGATGATGATGTATTCACACAGAACCCAAACTATCTCAATTTAGAAGACGTGGCTTCAACTGATGAACAAGGTAATATACCGCCGAGACCTGAAACACCACCACTACCTGAAGAAATGCGTCCTGCTGATTTTTCACAAGAAGCAATAGAAGAATACTTAGATCAATATCCCCCAATAAGCCATAATTATTTACAAGATTTTTGGACACAAAACGATAAAATTGATAAAAATTATGGACCTATATATACCGACAACATTGGTTGGATGTTAGGTAAACGCCGAATTAAATTTGATAGAGCGACTGGCCAAATACAGATATTACCTGAGGGGACAAACTTAGCAGGTACATGGTTTCGTGGCACACCTGGGCTGTATCAACTTTTATTCTATAATGACCCAAACTATGCAGATGCAGATTTACAACCCTATAAAAATCTATTGCAAAGTACCGGTGTTCATTTAGATTCGCTTGGACGCCTAAAAGGTTCGACAGGATTTAAATATAATCACATTATTAAGCCTCTCTTTAAAGATGTGCAGAAAAATAAAGGTACAATTGTCACACGATCAACATCTACAAAAATACGTAGTCCACTTAGTCGATCATTAACAAGATCCACTCCCTCAACAACAACAACAACAACAACAACAACATCATCAACATCAAAACCGCCAACAGGAAAAGGTATCGGTGATTACTTGACATACAACGAGGAACCAATCGAATACGTGTACTGGGATGATCCCAATGAATTAATCGATCGACTTAAACTCCTTATGGCATCTCAGGAAGCTGGCAATACGTCGCATGATAATGAAATAGTAGCCATCCTCAACGAGCTAAAAGAAGCTAATATAATACAGTAATCTAGTTCCTTGGTCTTTCATTTACACGATGAGTCTTGATAAATTCGGACGTCGCTTTGATAAACAAAAGACACTTCCGTATATGCGTACACCGCCAAAGTTAACACTACCCCATACTTCTGATGGAAATGTTGACTTCAAGAACGTAAAGTTGTGTAATATAAAAGATCCCACAGATAATTCAGATGCGGCAACTAAAAAATACGTAGATACTTCAGTGATTGATTTAAAAAAAATAACAGCAAAAACAGATCAAATAACAGAGTTTATTTCGAGAAATCCGCCTACTTCTGGTAAACATATGGCAACAAAAAAATATGTAGATGACTCTATTGCAAATATAACAACAAGAATAGAACAGGAGTTGGCTACAATTAAGTCTCATACCGATTTGACTCCAATACGGAAAAATATCATTGAATGAATTACAACTTTTGCAAGGACGCACATCATATATATCATTGAAAACATTCGATCTTGCTAAGCGTATAAAGCCGATGGAACAACAATTTAAAGCGTTAAAACATGATGACGTACGCCAAGGAGAAGCTACAACTAGTTAACGAGCTGCACAAGCCTGCTCGAAAAAATTATCTAAGACGACGTACCATCATTAAAGGCTTAGACGATTTATGGCAGACGGACTTGGCTGAAATGCGACCTTATGCTCATCAAAATAAAAATTTCAAATTAATTCTCGTCGTAATCGATTCTTTTTCCAAGTTTATGTGGACTAGACCGTTAAAGACAAAGACGGGTGAGGAGATAACTCGTGCGTTTTCGGATATCCTCGCACATACGGAACGTACGCCGAAAAATCTACAATCTGATCAAGGTAAAGAATTTTACAATAGTAAATTTCAAACTTTAATGAAGAAGCATGATATTAATCATTATAGTACATATAGCATCAAGAAAGCGGCCATTGCTGAAAGAGCCATAAGGACGTTGAAAAATAAACTTTACAAATACTTTAGCTTAATGGGATCGTATAAATGGATTGATATATTACAAAGCATTACCAATGAATACAATGGAACACGTCATCAAACCATCGGATGTAAACCATCACAAATTAATAAATCCAACGAAAAATGTATCTTAAATCGAAAATATACTCATTTAAAAATCGCGGGCCCGCGTAAGTTTAAAGTTGGTGACATTGTACGCATCAGCAAAACCAAAATGCTATTCGACAAGGGATACGTTCCAAGCTGGACAACGGAATTATTTAAAGTTACTAAAATTAATATTACCAACCCTGCAACGTACATGCTCGAAGATATGCAAGGTGCACCGATCAAAGGAGCCTTTTATGACGAAGAATTACAGAAAACAGCCAATCCAGATGTTTATTTAGTTGAAAAAGTTTTACGTCGTAAAGGTAAAAAAATGTACGTCAAATGGCTTGGCCTTGATGCAAAACATAATAGTTGGATTGACAATGATGCGATCGTCTAGGTGTATGGGGTGGGGGGGGGTTTCTGCTAAAAGTGAGTTCTCAGTCGGTTGCAGTCAGTCAGTCAGTCAGTCAGGCAGCTAGTAAAAAAAAATGGATACCAGTGGTAGTGGTTCAAGTTGCAGCGAGTTTGACCTCACCACCAGCAGCTCACACGAATCATCTGTAAACTACGACCGTGAGCTGGATGCTATTCTGGAAAGGTACGAAGAAGCGGCCAAGAACGAGGACCATTATCTGCTGTACACGCAGTTTCCAAATGGATCATACCAAATTGGATGCGGTCTAAGCCCAGCGAGATCATTTACTCCTGCTGTAATTGTGTGGAACTCATCACGGTTGAAACTATCTTTCAGTTCCTATGAGTGGGAACAATTAATCACCCAGCTCAATGTGGTAACGGTGAAGGAGACGGAGGAGCAGGAGGAGGAGAAGAACCTTCCTGACAAGTATGATCCTGTCGAAATCGAGTGCGGTGACTATTGCAGAATTCGACAACTAATCTATGATAGTACGAAAATTCTCGAAATAACCAAGCACAACATTAGTTTCTACCTCTCAGAAATGGACGTGAACGCTCTTTTAGAAGCAAATAATGAACTTTTAGTACCGTATATGTCTATGCTAGAAACTGTTGAATTTCCAAGCTATTATTATAATGCGCTTAAGATTGTTCGAGCTAGTTTTAATGATCAAAATTATACGTTTTCAGATGCTATTCAAAAATTGTATACATTTAAGCTCGTAGGCTGTACTTTACAACATATAGCGTTAGGACAACATATATTTTTCTATAGACATAGGATCGCTAATGATCTTGAACGATTTTAATAAAGTTTTTGTAAAAATGCATATCTGTCGTTTCATTATGATATACGTCACGTAACGTGACACGTGACGTGACGTGACGTACGTGACGTGACACGTGACGCACGTGACGTGACACGTGACGTGATACGTGACGCACGTGACGTGATACGTGACGCACGTGACGTGCACACTTTGTTCAAAAATACCAAAAAGATGTCTTGATAGCCCGAAGAACCGCGCCACAACATCAGAAGTAATGTTAGTATTATGTGTGTGCGTGTTTTTTTTTTGTTTTTGAACACGCTAAGTTTTGAACTCCAACCACGCACTAACATTGCTTCTGATGTTGCACACCTCTGACGACTCAAGCTATCAGGACATCTTGTTGTTGTTGTTGTGAACTCTTCTTACTAGAAAAATCTAACGAAATCAATAAAACATCTTTTTATAAATATTCATTTATTAAATCTAATTACATACATGTTTGAAAAAATATATATATATATAAATGTTAGTACTACATACATGTTTGAAAAAAAATATATATATAAATGTTAGTACAATAGATAGAGAGAAACTGGAGGACGGATGAACGCTTTTTATATATTTTTTTGTAATTTGTTTGCTGTGATGTTTTTTTTTTAAAACTCAATATCGCTGTCTACATCAGATTCATCAAATCGGATTCGGATGTTATTTCTAGACCTATCATGTAAGGCATCTCTGCAAGATTCCTGGTCTTTTAGTTCAAACACTACGCTTTTAAAGCAGCTGTGACACCAATTATACTTTTTTTGGTATACGTTCAAAATAATGTCATGTGCATCGTGAACCTCGTGAGAATGGTCATAGCAGGCAAATAAACGTTTATTTAAAGTTTTATGTATTTCTTTAAATTTAGATAAACAATTTTTACATACGTGTAGGTAATATTGGTCCAGCCAATATCCACTTGTCCATAGACAGTAACTAGAATAATCTTCAAAAACATAACCCCAATCTGATTTTCCTAATATAGTGTGAATTAAATTTGGATCTATTTCTTTGTGACATCTAATAAAGTTAATTCCTGTATATGAAGAATCAAGATCATTTTTGGCTTCTTTAATCATAGCGTGCCATTTATATAAAGGAAATTGTTTCACAATTTCCGTAGTTAATTTCCATGGTAGTGGAGACTGCTCCATGAATTCTACTGCTGATGATGTTATTGATTCGCAAATTTTTCTAACAGCTAACTCTGATAATGTTGGGGCATTCATCTATAACAAAAAAAAAACGCTATTATAAGATACTGTAATGCCCCCACGGAAGTGTGTCAAAACTGTTCGGAATTAAATAACGTTTGTCGTCATACGGACTTAAACTAATTTTTGACTGTTCAACAGAATATACGTTGTGTGCATACGACCTGATACAGCGTTGTGTAGCAGTTTTTTCCTTAAATTCTTTCAAACATTCAACATAATCCTCAAATGCAATTTTATTTTTAACAACATTGTACTTAACCCCTTTAGATTTTTTAACCACCTTCCCACCCTGCACCTTGTAACTATACATTTTGCTTCGTAGTCCAACAAAATGTGTCATAATTTTACCGTTATTTTCATCTTTCATTAGACCCGGCACCTTTTTGTTCTTACGCAGTATTTTATATATGTTATTTTCAGGATAATCCGAAGTATCAAATTTACTGGAATCAGCTTTAATGATCTCCTCATATGCATCCTCACATTGCAATTCGTAGATAAAACTGTCTGTGTCCATGTACATGAGCTTACACCTTTCTGCACCCATTTTTGGTAGCATATAGGTGTAATGAAAATCGTACATGACTAGTTTCGATAGGTCTAGAATTGCCTGCCCTACATACAGAGGTTTGTTAAACGTTATTTCAGCCTTGTTCAATTCGATAACCACCAGATTTTCCTCTAAAATTGTGCGACTGTGGAACCGAAAACTCGAAATCAAGTTTGCTGCCCCATAGCGACCACCCCAAGATTTAACGATTTTACATACGCGGTGCTTACGTATATTTTCCATGGTCTTACCGAATACTGCATTATTCATTAATTTAAAAAGATTTTTTTCGAAATCATTCCGGGCTGCAGCTCTACATCGAGTATTCAACTCGATGTAGGGTTTCAGCCAGGCTGCTTGTTTAAATTGTAAAATTTTATGGATTTTCGTTAACTTTAACCCATTAGCTAGCATTTGTTTTAAATTTTTATAGTGAACCGTGTACTCTTTTTTATCCGTAAGTGTTGCCATTAATTTCGGCAATTTTACCCCGCCGTCGCTGGGTGGTACGCTACGTTCTGCCGCAAACGGAAAATCTTTGTGTTTATCGTGCAGTTCTTGTGGGTACGATAGATCGACTTGTAGCACGTACCCTACGTCAGAGTCGTCGGGTATTGACATCACATCAAACGATGTTACATCATCTACCCATTTGAACCCTCCGTAGGGTAAGGGTTGCTGCATAGCATTCCCATATAAGCTATTCACATCCAGGTACATAAGGTACTTGGACGGCTTTTCAGGATCATATTCGGGCATATATTTATTGTTGGCCTCCGAAAATCGGTTGCTACACACCGAAATTCCACCTCTTATAGCATTTTCGTAAAACATCACCATATCTAGATCCTTTAGTAGTTCTAACTTACACCCAGTGTATTTGAGCATACAGTCCCACGTATATCCGGGCATTGTATAGTACCACGCAGGATCCAGACCATAGGTGGAGAAACATTTTTTACGCAATTGCTCAAAAACGTCGGCAAGAAGCAGAATATCTGTTTTTAAATATATATCAGAATACTCTCCTAATGTTTTAATGTTAAACTGTTGCCAAACAGATTGCGCATGAGCATACTTCTCGTCACTTACACTTTCATCGTTTAATTTATTGTAAAATTTTTCAATTGGGGGCAAAGTCGTTTCATTTAATTTTTTCAACGAATCAATGTAATCGTAACAGAAAACTCCTTTCTGTGTTAATAATTTGAATTTATCTTCATCTAAATTTTGAAATTCCCTTTGTAAAATTTTCTTTTCTGATACTGCTAAAATTGAAGCTAATTCATCAAGAGACGCCCCCATAAATCGAAAAGAGTCTATAAACCGCAATTTAATGTTATTTTCATCTGAGTGCAGCGTAAAGGAGATGTATTTATCTTTGTTGATGGGAAGTAGACTTAAGCGACCTTTTTTACATAAATTCGAAATCATAAAGTGACTATCGTACCCACTTAAATTATGGAATATAACCGGCACAACAAACAATTTTCTAAAGTTCAGATTGCATGCTTGGTGTGCGTAACCTCTGAACTCTCCACTGAAATGGTTGTGATCTCTAACGATTATGTCTTTTTTTGTTTTTGAAAATCTCTTACCGCAAATATGACATGATGTTGCCTTACATGTGTCTAATTTTTCAATCATAGGTACGCTTGTTTTATTTTGAGTTTACAAATTGCGCAACACCAGCCATACGATTTGCAAACCAATCCATACAATCTGCACCTCGAAAGCTCTCGAAATAAGAAAGGCTATCATCATAGCTGCATTTTACATAGAAACCAGCACTATACGGAACGTGTTTTTGATATTTTATGGTTTTAGTTAAATTTACGACGCTACTTTCTTTATGATTTTCTAATTGACATTCAAAATCTGCATAAACAACAAAAGGAGTATTTTGTTGGTATGTAAAGTTTTAAATTCAACGCAGCTCTCTTTAGGAAGGTTAATTTTATATTTATTAAATTTAGAACACAGTTTTTCATGTTCAACTAATTTATTTTGCTGATGGAAATAGTTCAGACATCTATCGCAAATAAATTTTTTCTCACGATGTTTATTTAACTGGCTACTAATAAGACGCGAAAGATTTTTAATCCAACAATAGTGATATTTAATTTCATCGATTGAATCATTATCTTCATTTGCTGGCGCTGGTGGAGGAGCATCATAATCATTTAAACGCGGATAATATTTATTTTGAGCTAAAAGTAAATTAACATGCGTATCCCGTTTATTTTCCGTTAATCTTGCTGGTACTACTATGTAAAATGATTTTTTTTCTGTTTCGATCAATTCTAAAGCGTAAACATTGACTGAAATGTTATTCATCTTTTCAAATTTTGAAATTTTTGTTAGCAGCATAGGACTATCTAAATTTTCTGTTTGTAAACGTCAGTAAAGTGTGGATATGAGGAGGTTAGTTCTGCATGTCTTTTATTGCTAGGAGTCCGAAGAGCGCTTACAATGGCCCAGTAAAAGCAATTTTGATCTATATTTTTAATGTTTATACAAGCATTTTTCCTTATAATCGGTTCTGGTAGTCTAAATAGATTGAAC